CTCACTCCCTGATTTTCCCATAAATTTCATTTGTTTGAGTTTAGGCCTTTATACTTTAGATATATCCTTCATTTAGGCTTTCGGTATGTGCATTGTGTGATTTGTGTCTTTAAGCATTACCCCAAGTGCCTCAAAGCTCCTGTCTATTGCGGGGTAAGGGGAGTCGAATGTACGCCACCGGACTCCACTCCTATGTTTAAAAGATAGGGAGCAATGATTTTAAACTCGAACCGAACGTCGAATCAGCGTGGAAGCCGGGTCCCGGTTTTTGTGGGGGGGTTTGTGGGGGTTGGACCAGACCGGTTACGTGGTCGGATCACGGTTCGACTAGTTTGACCGTTCGGTCTTGTCTAGGTTCAATAACATTGTTGTAGAGCTGCCGTTTTTAGATGACTCATGATGCGTGTCGAAACTACATTCACTAATTGCTACTCCTTTCGTTCTTGAGTATTTGTCCACTTTTGATTTTTTTTAATTCAAAATCGATAAACTTTGAACTCAAATTAAATAACAATGATACCTGAAGTATAAAATATAGATGTTTGCATGCATAGTCATATATGCTTGCATGCATGTACCAACAATAGTTATATGGATAACCGAAAATTTGACTACCGTCCGCATCCGTATCCGTTTATATGGAAAATATCCGCATCCGTTAAAAGCGGTTATTAATAGTACCCAATTAAGGATATCCATTTTGGCTACTGGTGAGAAAGTCTCAGAGTAGTCAATACCATAAGTTTGAGTATATCCTTTAGCTACCAGTTTGGCCTTATATCTCTCGATTGTGCCATCTGCTTTATGTTTGACTGTAAAATGTAAATACCCATCGGCATCTGACTAGTTTCTTTTTTGGACAGAGTTGACATTTCTCCAATGTGTTGTTTTTCTTTAGTGCCTTCATCTCCTCCTCCATTGTTTTTCTCCATTCTGGTATTTGTACGGCTTTGTCAACTGTTCTAGGGACTTCATGGCTGGATGTGTGAAGAGCCTGTGGTACACTCCCCCTGACTAGATCATCAACATGATATCTTGAGTTCCGAGGGATGTATTCTGGTTCATATCTTACTGGAGGAATTCCCCGATTCTTCCGTGGTGGGAGAACATATCTGGTTGGCATATTCAATTCTTCCACGGTATCATTAGATTTATCAATGCAATTATCAGGAGTGGGAGAAATACTAACCTCAGGAGTCTTTTCAGACGGAGTAGTTGTTGGACTGTTCAATGTTTTTAAAAGATTATCCCACAGAGCGACCTACTTCCTCTGTTGGGACAGTTTCAGGTGGCAAGACCAGGCTGTGTAACCACTCTAGAGAGTCATTCGTAACTTTCTTCCCCTGACTACTAGAGTGGTTATGGAAATAGTACTCAGTTTCCAAAAAATTACAGTCCATTGTCGTGTACATCCGACGAGAGAGAGGATCATAACATGCGTTTGATCGTTTGATCGAATGATGGCTTTGATACCATATTAGAAATAATAGATAGACTGAAATTACAACAAAGTGTTCATCTTATTCAATACATCACAAATGATGCTTATAAATATTACAAAGTAAATTAAGAGGACAATCAAGGAAAGTGAGTGGAAGTTAACAAATATCTTTGATTGGTAATTTGATTCCAATCAAGGATATTATTCTAATCATCAAGATATCACAATCAACACTATTCTCTTGATTGATATTTCTTAACAGGTACCATATCATTTCCTCTTCTTATTTTCTCTCCCTCCGTGAATTCTCCATAAATTTCATTTGTTTGAGTTTTTGGAATTTAAGAGTTTTTTAAGACATCGTTAGGCCTTTATGCTTTGGACATATCCTTCATTTAGGCTTTGGTTATGTGCATTGTGTCTTTACCCCCCAACAACAACCACAAGAGCATTGCCCAAGTGCCTCAAGGCTTCCGTCTATTGCGGGATAAGGGGGAGTCAAATGTACACCACCTGACTCACTAGTAAATTCCAGCGCGTAAGATTGTTATAGGATCGGGGTTTACTCGGCCATTTGAATTGTCAAATTTGGTCATCCGCAAAGACGTGTGTTACGTTGTGCACAGAGGTATTAGTAGGTGTAAAATACGGCAAAGACTTTTAAAGATTGTGCAGATAGGTAAGTCAATATAGTTGATTCTTCTCTCCAAACTACTTGCCTTGACTTAACTTGTTCCTGAATGACTTGTTAATTGCACCTTCTTTTTTTTTGTTTTTCATTGCATTCTAACTCCATCATCTCCGTACAAACAAATGCTTGTCGTAAGCTTCCTCTCTCTTCTCTCCCATTATTCCTTCATATGCTTCTGGTGCTTCATCATTTCCACTCCGCCGGTTCACGGCGACGGCGGCCGAGAATTTGACCGGTTTCTCAGGTGTAACAGTACCCGCTACAACTGCGGTGGCATCCGGGATGTCGGGTACCCCTTCTGGGGCAAGGACAGGCCCGAAGAATGCGGGCATCCGTCGTTCCATCTCAGATGCAACGACATCCGGAACGAGACGACCATTGCCATCGACTCGTTGTCCTTTCGCGTGATCGAGATCGACAAACCTAGCTTGTACACGATGAAAATCGCCCGCACCGATTTCTTGAACCACGAGTGTCCTCCAATCGGTACGGGGCTGACGGCCTCCGACGGCGGCGGCGCATTTTCGTTCTTCCCCGACGTGGTAAACGCGACCCTGCACATTGGGAATTGCCGTTTTCCTCCCGACTACAGGAATCTGGAGTATTCGAAACTCGTGTTCGAATGCCACCGTGGGGACCACCGCGGTGACGTTAGAAATGTAACGGTCTCGTTCCCGAGTTCGGATTCTGATGGTGTCACGTGCGACGATGACGGTGAGGCATATGTGATGCGTGTTCCGGTTTCGAAACTCGGGTTGTTTGACGAGCTGGAGAAGAACGAAACGAGCACAAATGCGTTGGATGTGTTGAACCAAGGGATCACAATGTGGTACAATGGTAGCATTGAGTATTGTTTGGCTTGCGAGGCTTCGGATGGGGAGTGCTGGATGAACACAAGCTCACCAAAACCAACTTGCCTTTGCCCTGATGGGATTTCTCCTTATTTTTGTGGATATGGAGACCCAGGTACATTTATATTTGTTTTGTTTCAATATAAAAATATAAAAAATTTTACTCCCCTGATGAACAAATTTCAATCTTTTAAAAAAGTAAATTCCATAAAAGGTACCCAGTTATAGGTCGTTTTACATATTTAGCCCCTACATATCATATATTACTAATTTAGTCCCCAATTATTATATTCATTTCTACAAGTGGTCCTTTGTTAACATTTCCGTTAAAAACGTGGATAAAATTGTAAATTCACACTCCTTTCTCTCCTCAATTAACTTCTTCCTTCTCCTCACACTCCTTTCCCAAACCCGTTGTTGAGTTTGAAGCTTTGAACACAAAACCGAAATCATCACTCTTCTCTCAATTGTTTGTCTAACTGGTGGAACCCAAATTCGAAACCAGTAACCTTCATGGATGAATTTTAATGTTTATTTTCTTTACAATTTCTTGAGACTATCCGATAAAATTCATCCATAAAGCTTATTGGTTTTGATTTTAGGTTCCACAGAAAGACTAATAACTGAGAGGGGAATGATCATTTCAGTTTTGGGTTTAGAGCTTCAAACAAAGCGACGAGTTTGGGAAAGAGTACGGGAGAAGGGAGGAAGCTTAATTGAGGAGGGAGAAGTATGAATATACAATTTTATCCATGTTCTTAACAAAAACGCTAACAAAGGACCATTCGTGAAAAATGATATAATAATTGGTGACTAAATTAATAATATTTAATATGTAAGGACTAAATATGTAAAACGACCTATAACTGGAGACCTTTTATGGAATTTACTCCTTTAAAACTTTGTGAGAAAGCGTGAAGTTTAATTTAGGATGGAAGGAGTAATACATACCATAGTTTTCATAACCGGACCGGTGACCAAATTGGTCAAGGTATTGAACCAGTCGAACCGGTGGTTTAAACATATCTAAAAAATTTATATATATATAGACACACACACACACACACACACATACATACATACATACATACATATATATATATATATATATATATATATATATATATATATATATGTACACACACATACATTTTCATTTATAAATACCAAAAGAAAGTGATTTATAACATTTGACTAAAATCGTATTAATATACTTGAGTTATTTTACTAAGTTAAAAAATAAAATTTACATATTAAAAAAATAATGTTAAAAACTTTAAAAATGAAGTGTTGATTTTTCTTTTTAAGTTATTCTCTTCGTCTCAATTTATATTATTTGTTTCGGTTTACAAAATTTGATTAAAATGATTTTTAAATTATTTATACTCCGTATGATAAATGGTGTAAAATTAAAATATACAAGTTACATATTCAAATACTATATCAAAAGATTTACAAAACTAGTAGTGACATGACTATTTTATTTTATCAAATGACTAAGGGTAATAGAGAAAGAAAGTAAATGAAATTTGATCCCTATGCAATTTAATTTGGGACATCATTAATCATTTGAAATTTTATTTGAAAAAATTCAACCAAATCCAGCTTGTTTTTTCGTACTTTATTTATCCTTTAATATTCCCAATTCCCACATCTTGAACCATTTGATGGTTTATTGAGTTAGCTCTGTTCCTAAATATGTAGACAGAAAAGTCTAGCACCAGTTAGACATTAGTTGCGTGTCATTGTTTAAAGAAAAACTCTTTTTCCAAATAAAATTAGCTATTTGTGTCTACAGTTTATAGTTTTTGAAAAAATCTTTAATGGTGTGGCCTTAGATAAAATTTTAATGTTGCGGTCTTGTTTAAGAATAACGTTTTGGATAAAATTTTAATGATGTAAATTAATTCTAAAAACGCTAACACTAAAGACTATCGTCAAATAACCTTTATAAAACCCTAAGTCGCTAACGCTAACCTCTAATGCTGATGACAAACGGGACCGTAGATTAAAAGTCGGTTCTTTAGAGCTTAAACTCTTCACTCGTTGCATTTCTTTTGTTATCTTCTTCTATCTTACAATTTCTTCCAATTTCTTTCAACTATTCTCATTTTCATCAAACTTTTTTTATTCCCCAACAATTACTCTAAAAACCATGTATCTTGATGTGATTGATATTATTATCATTATTATGATTAGTATTATCTTCACTTAATTATTATTATAATTATTATGTTCAAAACTATATATCTCAACGTAAGTCCACTCCTAGGCAATCCTAATCTTACTCTTAGGTTCCGTTCCGTTCAACTTATTTTTTTTGATCTGATCTGATTTTTTGTAGTTCTTATTTGATTTGATCTAATTAATAATGATTTGATTTAAAATTCAAATCAATAATTTGATCCGACTTTATAATAACTTTTGAAAATTGTAATGATAATTCATATTATAATATAATCAATATTTTTATTTTATGACTATTTTATAATGAAATAAAATTAGTTAATTCATATATTAGAATAATCATTCATATTATAATGTAATAATATATTTTATTTTATGAGTATTTTTATGCAATAAGAATATTGGTTTAATATTCTAATAATTAGTTCATAATACGTTAGAATAAATATTTAATTCATATGTACATTAAAAAGTAATTAAATTTAGATAATCAATATAGAGAAGAGATAGTATTTTTATTAAAATATCTCATCCTTATAAAATATCCATGTTAAGCAAAAAAATAATACATTTTTTTGCATCTCTTATAATAATTAAGGATTACTTTTTCAGTTTTCTATTTAACTTGTTTCCAAAGTTTATTCTTTTTCATTTTTAAGAAAAAATTGTGCTTCCTCTTGAAAGAATCGTATCAAGTGAAACAAGTAAAAAGTATGAAGTAATAACGATATTGATAATGATAATGATAATGATGATTATAATAATTCCTAGTAATAATAATAATAATAATAATAAATTGATTAGATGTGATCTGATTTTAATAAAAGTAAGAAAAAAGCAGAAAAAATAAGTTGAATGGAACGAGGTCTTAGTCCTAATCCCGAAAGATCTAAAAAAAAGATTGGAGACATTTTCTAACAATATTTTCCCACTTGCTCTTTTAAAATTTTCTTCGGCCCGCGTATCATGCTCTCTTTTACAACAAAGAATGACAACATACTAACATTGATTCTCTTTGCTCATCTTGTTTTACAAAATTTAGGGCGAAGGACAACCAAGCTTTTCATAGGTGATGGACCAAACTTCAAACTTCATTTTCTTATATATATATATATATATATATATGTATGTATGTATATATATATAACCTTAGCTCATTTTTTGAATTGGAAATACTATTATCTTTGTCACAGGTTTAGTGGCCGGAGCAGTTGGAGCTCTACTAATATCTGCTGTCTTCTTTTACTGTAAAATCAAACCGTTAAGGCGGAAAACTGAGCACTTTAAGACTGCGGCAATTAACCGGGATATTGAGGCTTTCATCAAAGGCCATGGACCTTTGGCTCTAACAAGATATAGATTTGCAGAAATCAAGAAAATGACCAATTCTTTCGAAGTAAAATTGGGACAAGGTGGTTATGGTAAAGTGTACAAGGGAAAATTACCAGACGGACACCTTGTGGCTGTGAAGTTATTGACCCTATCGAAAGGGAATGGAGAAGACTTCATCAATGAAGTTGCTAGCATCAGTAGAACTTCCCATGTTAACATCGTTAACCTTCTCGGGTTTTGTTTGGAAGGCCATAAAAGGATTCTCGTTTATGAGTTCATGCCGAGTGGGTCTCTAGACAAATTCATTAACAACAATGTGTCACACAACTCGCTAAGTTGGGAGAATTTGTACCAGATTGCGCTTGGCACGGCTCGGGGGCTAGAATACTTGCATAAAGGATGCAACACTAGGATTCTACATTTTGACATAAAACCACATAACATCCTTTTGGATGAGAATTTTTGTCCCAAGATTTCAGATTTTGGGCTTGCTAAGCTTTGCCTAAACAAAGAGAGCATCATTTCGATTTCACAAGCCAGAGGCACTGTAGGATATCTTGCTCCAGAAATTTGGAATAGAAACTTTGGCGGGATTTCACACAAGTCAGATGTATACAGTTATGGAATGATGCTAATTGACATGGTCGGAGGGCGAAATAACACGAATGTTGAAACCAAAAGCGCGAGTGAGAATTATTTTCCAGATTGGATATACAACAAGCTCGAGCAAGACTGCAGTTTAGAAAGCAATGGAACAAACAATATAGATGAAAATGATGTTGCAATGAGAATGACCATTGTGGGACTATGGTGCATTCAAACATTTCCATCACATAGGCCTACAATAGGGAGAGTGATTGAAATGTTAGAAGGTAATTTAAGTGCACTTGAAATTCCTCCAAAACCAATCTTATCTTCTCCTCCAAGATTACAATGTGAGTTCTCCTCCACAACCAAAACCACCAGCACCACCGCATTCATTAGCGATCCAAATTCAGGTAAACATCAAAGTGAAGCGAGAACATCAATTGCATGTTGACGCGATACAACATTCAACCAAAGTTTTATGTACCACTCTTACTATTTTGTGTATTTTTTGTAACTACATATAATCTCAATCATAAATATATCTTCGAGATGTTGTGGAATTACCCAAAGGCGTGTCCATGCTATAGGTGTCTTCTCTTAGTTAAAGGTTCGTGATTGCAACAATTGCATATCTTGAAAATTAAAAAAAAAAAGAAATAGAAATGAATACATATCTAGGAGAAATGTTTGTGTTCGTTCACTAGTCCCCACGAGTGTGAATCACTCTAAATGACAGGCAAATTTTTTTGTAATTCTTAGGTCAATGCTCATTCTATAGACTTTAATAAATAAAATACTCATATGTATTAAGCCTTATAAAACGAAAGAGATCATATTATGAACCCATGAGAAATATGTGAAAAGGTAAATATTTCACATATGGAGTTTAGGAGTTAGGACCTCAATAGCACAACTCCTAAATACTCTCCTTGTTGCAATTTATTCTTCTTATTTGGAAGAACATGAAAATTTTGATCTTTTTAAGATAATTTTATTTATAAATTAGTATAGAAATAAAAAGTATAAATGGCATCATTCAAAACTACATCAAAAATTCTATAAAATAAAAAGTAGCAAGAATATTTTAATTTTTCAAATGGTTAATGAAAACATGAATACAAACATAAACTATTGCGAGGTTGTATTATTAACTGGAAAGATTGATTTGGGACGAGGGAGTACCACTCTCTCCTTGCCAAAAAGAATTGTACATTTGGCTTTTCATGGTAATCAGTGTGACACTTCGACAATTAATGACTATATTCGTACATAAATAAATCTTATAAGAATTTAATATATCAAAATTACATCTAAAAATGAATCTTATCATATAAAATTTACGGAGTATATTTCAATTAAATATACTATTTTTTGCAAATCTTTGTCAAAGTTTAAAAATAATTTGACAAAAAAAATCAAAACAACAACAACAACCCAGTTAAATCCCACAAGAGTAGGGTCTGGGGAGGGTGTGTGTACGCAGACCTTGCCCCTACTCGAAAGTAGAGAGGCTGTTTCCAAAGAGACCCCCGGCTCAACGTCGAAAGTTGCATTGTTTGACTAAATGCTACTTCATTAATTAAAGAAGCACAGATAGTTTAGAGATCCATTTTGATTTATTCCATCACACCCCAAAGCCAAAAATGGTGAAATTTAAAAAAAAAATCAAAAGTAAAGAATATTTTGAAACAGAAATATTATTTTTTAAGGCCAAATAACACTAGTATTCTCCGTGGTTTGGAAGATATGCGCCAATACCTCCTTGTTTTCAAAACTTATTTCTAAAGTTCCCGTGACTTCAAAACGGTATACTCATACCTCATTTGATCATTTTCCAGCCATTTTTCCAACGTAAAGAGGGGCATTGGTGCCTATTTTTCAAACCATATGGGGCACTGGTGCTCGTTTCTTATTTCTCGTTTATTTTTTGTTTTCCCCCCTTTTTTTCCTTTTTTGTTTCTTTTATTAATCAATGTTTTCTGAGTTCCTTTTCAACCATTTTTATAATTTTTTTAAAATTTAAAATTATTTTTCTTTGAAAAATAATAATTACCATATACTACATCTGTATGTCTCAAATTAAAAAAATTTATGTTTTATTTTCCGAACTAAAAAAGTAAAAACTTTTTTTGAGCTTCAAAAAATGAGGAATAAAATAAGAATTAAAATAAAACAAAAAATTAAAATGAATATCCTTTTTGGATATCCCAATTCTAAGAACATTTTAGGCGTTCTGAAAATTTCTTTTTGTATAGGACTTTTTTTGCATGTTTCAATTTTTTTTCATTTTGTTTTTCCATATTTTTATTTTTTTATTCTAAACTTTCTTTTTAGACTTACCAAAAAAATTATTCTAGGAAACAAAGAGTGAGAATGTTTAATTTGAGATAGATCGAGTATATGTTATTTTTTTATTTTTATTTTGATTTCAAACACAAAGAATTTTGAATTTTTTAAAATATTATAAAAAATTGAAAAGAAATTTAAAAAACTTTTCTTGAAGTAAAATAGACAAAAAAGAATTTAAAAAAAGAAAAAATTCAAATAATAAACAAAAACAAGAATTTAGCACGAGTGTCCATATTGTTTAGAAAATAAGCATCAATGCCCCTTCTTTGTCGGAAAATAATCAGAGGGATTGCAGGTGCAACATTTTGAAATCAAAAAGACCTTGGAAATAAGTTTTGAAAACAGATAGAGCACTTATGCTTATTTATCAAATCGTAGTGAACACTGAAACTATTTGGTCATTTTTTTAATCAAAGAAATAAATTTGAAACCTTAATATGGAGACAGTGGACAGATGACCTATTAAGATACTCCGTATAATTTGGGGTGAAGCTGAGTTCGGATGTGATCGGATGGCATAAAAATATACAGTAGTTCGGCCAAGTTGTTCATACCAGCAATTATTCTGAAATATGGAACCTTCGATTGGACAAAAGAGAATGATTTCTCACTACGAAAATGAATGTCAAATTTGAATTTTTGGAAAATGTTGGTTGCACACTTGCACTAAACAAGTCACCCTAAATTAAAGTAGAGCATAGAGAAAATATTAAAATAGAAATTAAATATTTTTTATTTCTAAAATATGAGTTTACAGTTTGCAATGTTGCAATGTAGTATTATATATGAACATTGCACAATATATCTTAATTCTTATTTCGAGAATAAAAATATGGAACTCTTATTTTATGATATTTTCAATATTTTACTCATACTTTAGTTTTTTCCCTTTGCACTACATTTACAATCGGCAATTTAGCACTCCGAAAAATATAATTAATGTGAGAGGCGTGAATGGTGTGTTTTGGAGTGCCAATAGCAAAAAATCGAGTGCATGATCAAATTGTTTAAATTTATTATAATTGAGTTTATTTTAATGTACAATTTTGATATATCAAATTTTTTATAAGATTTATGTATTTAAAGCATTATTTAACTTGTGAAAAAGTGTTACACTTTGATATTAAAAAAAAAGTCAAAGTGTGGCATTTATTTCCATATCGAGAGGGTACTATGAAATGAAAATGTGATTTTTTTAATTTTTTTTCTAAATAAATTTCAAGTGCACAATTTTTGCATTTAACGGGCTTTTTTTAGGGTATCTACACCCTCATCTTCAATTTGTAAGAAAGACATACTCATCTTTAAAATCCATAACAAAGTGGTTACCAATTGCCCCATTTGTGGTTATAACAATGACATACTCCTCTTTAGAACCCTTGAATTTTTACAATAGTCTTAAATGATTATGTGATTTTTATTCTTCGATCTCCTTCATATTAAATACTTTACAAGTATCACATTATCCCTATAACACTGTCATCCGTCGTCGCCGGCTACCAAAGTATCACCGTGAATCGTTGATTGATCACATTGTATATATATTATAGTGTCATTACTTTTCCTATCCTTACATTACTAGCTGTATCGACTAAGTGTATTTCACTAATCACTGACTAGGTCATCTCTATCTGATCAATTCTGACCTGTCATCAGTCAGCTGCACTAGTAATTTCCTTAAGCCGTGAATTTTCACCCGGGTTAACTTCTAAAATAGTAGAATGTGAGGGCAGTCGTTTGTCAAATCGTGCTAGGCTCACGCAGTCATGACAATCATACCATGGTATGCTCCATGATACTTTAATCGGGTCAACTGCTCTTGTCTACTTTACTGTCGTGCAATCTAGAAATCTACCCGAGTGAGTTTCTGGTAGACCAGACCCAGGTCACGATCAGGGTGTAGATACACCCATCAATCATAAGCAGGAGCTCATGCATGCTCGTTATCTTGTGACCAGATTGAAATTCTTCTTTCCTTCTCATATCTTTCTCTCACTAGTATTTTGACCCGTGCGATGCACGGGGTCGAACGAAATTGTTGTCGATTTTGAAATTTTTCAATGAAATATTTATTCCAGAATCAAGTAAATATATTTTTGTCACAAATTTTAATCAATGGAAAACAACGACAAAGTAGAATATAATATTTGAGAAATTGAAAGTGTACTGAAAAAATCTTTTTTAATTCCAAATTTTTTGAAAGACTTTAGTGTACACAACATTTTTTGTATCGTTGTAAGCATTTTTATTTTCATCTAGAACTAATATTTTTAATCGTGTCTTTTTCTTTACTCCTGAAACAGTAACATAAAGCTAACCATAAGTAAATCCTGAATTGGTTAAAAATAATATAGCAAAGAACAATGTTTGACATTGACTTTTGTTTATAGTCATAGCAAAACATAAGACTATTATATTGAGAATTCTATCAGATGATACCAAATTTTATTCAGGGTATGTAAACCTTTTTCTCCAATGCGATTTCTCGAAACATCAATTACATTGATAATGTTCTTTCACATCTCTTTAACGATTAATCTTTTACCATTACACAATCCATATATTTGGTCAATGTTCTTCAATAACATAATCGGTACCCCCTTTTAAAAACTATTTTGTGGTTTGAATCCCCTAACATTTGATTTCATTAAGAAGATTTAAATTGTTATCTAATCGTCTTCAACAACTACATCTAAATATGTTTGGCATGAAGAATGAGAATTTAAATACTCTTTTAATTTTTACCTCTTAGAATAAGGGATATGACAAATTCATTTGTCATTTAACAAATTCGATTGTGGGTGCTAATAATGCACTATCCTCAAAAAAAGAATAATTTTTCATGTTCTCTAATAGGTTTGGATAAGTAAAGTTCACTATACTCTTGAGGGCGTAACTTATGTCAAGCATCAAGAATTCAAGCGAGATTTCAACGTCAGCAATTTCATCGATCACTTGTCCAAGTTTTCATCTTTGACTTTGCTTATCAATACAGAAAAAGATTATGTGTCCCTATGAGTGCAAGAGCGTGTAGATAAATGC